TGTTCCGATCTCTTTTATATATTATTCACAATTTATAAGCATAATGTTGTTTCCCTCTTTTTGTCTTTCTCCATTTTATAATACCCTTATAATTTTAGCGTTGTATAACCATTGTTATTTCATTTAACATAGAAATGTTTTTTTTTTTTAATTTATTGTTCCTTGTGGGGGTTTTTTTTACTTTTCTTGTTTTTCTCTTTACTACTTATATATAAACAATCTCGCATTTGGAGGGAAAAATTCAAATTTTCAAAAAAAAAAAAATTATATTTTATATATGAAAATATCAAAAATAACGACAACGACATAAGGTGAATCCGTTAAAAATTGTAAAATGAAAAAAAAAAGAAAAAAATAATAGTAAATATAATCATAAAATAACAATGAAAGTCACATATATTTAAATAGAATACAAATATGTGGGAAATAATAAAAACAACACAAGGAGAAACAGGAATTTAAAACTATTTTTATTAAAAATTATTATGCAAAACTTACAACACTCATTCTGAATCTTCCCGATCTCATTTTGTATAGTACAACCCGAACCCGATATAGATGACATGAAAAGCGTGTCTTGACATTTCATAAAATGTTTTTGTTGAATCTTTACTGCTCATATTTTTTTTTTTTCGTAACACGAAGTGAACCGAATCATAAAATGCAGCTGCTTTGGTTTTTTTTTCACATTCATTCTGTTCATTTACTAATAAAATTAGGTGTTCGTTTAATTAAAAAAAAATTATTTATTTTTTTTTTTTTAGATATTAGTTTTAAAAATTCAAATTTGATTGAAATTTGTATGTGTGTGTGTTTATAATATAGGGGCATAACTGTTTATAAATATGAAAAATAAAGTTGAAAATTGTGATAATTTACATTTTAATTATTACTGCCGAAGATATATAGGATTTTTTCTATAATTCACAATCAGTTCAATTTATGTTGCAGTAACAAAAAAAAATTTTATATGCCGCGATTAATTCAAATATGGCGGTCATTCATAGTACATATATAGAGATAATGTAATAAAAATAATATTAAATAGTAATTTAAGTTGAAAGTTGGAATATTACTCTATTCTTTTAATGCGGTACTCTTAAATTTTCAAATTTTTATTAATTAATTTTGTTATTAATTTAATTATTAAATAACTCGCACGTTTTTCGCTTTTCATATAAGCGACACATCAAAATTCTTTTTGAAAATCACATTTTCCTGACAAACTGAAAATTAATAAGATATATGCATACGTATTTTTAAGGCTGACAATGAAAATAAAATCGACGAAAATTTTCGAAACAATTAGTGCAGTTAATAGACAAATTAGTGCAGAGTATATCGAAAAATATGACATAACAAGTAAAAGACAGATGGGTTCAGAAAGAACTCGAATGTAAACACGACTTTATTTGATACATTGGCACACATCGAGGAATAACACAAGAAGAAAGCGAAAGTTGAGATTGTTTTTTTTATGACTTAACAAAAGCATTTGATTCGGTTGACAGAAAAATTTTATTAAGGTTCCTCTAAAATATGGGTATTAATGGAAGAGCACGTAGATGGTTTGCAGAGTACTTTAGGAACATTTTACAATATTCAGAATGAGTGAAAATCAAAAAGTAAATTACAGAGTCATTTTTGCAGGTTATTCCCTTCTCTATTCTTATACTACGTAAATAAAGTAGTCAACCTAGACATTAATGGACAAATATTTGTGTATATTAGATTTAGCGTATAGTTTACTCTGAGATGAATTCTAACATAATGCAAACCAAAATAAATTCTGACAATAAACTCTTATACAAAATAATTAACCAATATCAACTGACAATAAATGTTCTAAAAACAAAATAAATGCTGATTAGTAATTATAGTACAGAAAAAGCTTTAATAAAAAAATTAATACTAATAATTAAAATTAATTCACAACTACTTTAGACTAAAACAAAAAAATGTCGGCAGGCAGGAATATTAAGAAAAGTAGCTGATTGTTTACCTGATAAACTAAAATGATCAATCTACTATAACCTTTTTCACTCAAATATAAGCTACAGGCAACTAATATGAGAGTCTGCATCAAGTCAAAAGCTTTCTTTCAAAATTATTATAAATTAAAAATATTAGTTCACTTGTTTTTTAATTATTTTAAATTTTTTAAATATTTTAAATATTAAGTTTAATTTTCATATTTTTCAATAATGAGTAAATGAATAGAAATCAAAATGTCAATATACAATCTAGATCTAGACGAAATATCGCTTTATTGAGCTCATTTTGAGAAAATTAAGAAGTAAATAAAAATTGATGTTCCTATAAATATGCAATTTTTTCCTTAACTAATTTTATATTTTATAGTATTCAATTTAACATTTATAATTCAGTTTTTTAATTATTAAACAAAAAATGACTCAAATTCTTTAATTTAAGATTAGAATAAATATATTGAGAATATTACATATTATATAACATAAAATTTCAAAGTAATACACCTATAAGTATGCAATTTTTTATTATTTTCATATTATATAATTGTTTACTATATATTCGTAATTCAATCAAAATCAACAAATCAAATTAAAATATAATTATATACCTATAGTTTTGTGCATGTATGTATGTATATGGAAATTAAAAATACAAAATGAAATCAAAACAATTTTTGTTTTCTTAATTTAATTAAAAAGCTTAAATATAATACCTTATATATCTTAAAGCTTATATACATATATATACCTTATATGTTATATGCATTTATTTTATTTACAAAATGATTAATTCAATGAGATATACAAGAATTTTAAATATAATTTTCAAAATAATAAAAACAATTAAACCATATTTTTTATTCATATTATTCAAATCAAAAAAACAATAACAATAACAAAAAAAAATAATAATTATTACTCATTACAAAATAAATATATTGAATTATTATATACATACATTTATATTTATATATATACAATATACATTTATGCTTACTTCTATTCATATACCTTACACTTGTAAGGTATCATCTCAGAAATAATTATACGCACAACATACATACACATTATATAGACTTCATTATACCCGTATTCAATATTTACATTCAACACATTCAGTTTATGAAATAACAACAAACAAAAACAAAAAATGTGTTATATATTATTACGTTTGTGCATACCATTATGATCCAATGAAATACAAAATTTCCGACGGTTAAAATAACGAATTTTTGGTATTGGCTCACAATATTCTTATATTACAAATAAACTATTATTTTCACCATTTATACATAGCATAAGTATTCACCAAGTACATTAATTCTCTATGTATAAAAGTATAACAAAATGTATATTAATATATAATAGAGTAAAATTATTCAAATCTCCAACCACTATTATAAAACTCTAATTTTTACTATTTTTATTTTATTACTCACAACCCATATAATATATATATGAATATGTATATATGTATATGTATATATAATTTAAATTTACATTTGTATTTTATGTACAGTAAAAATTTAAACAACAAAAAAATAATATGCAATACCGTTACACCGGTATCATGTATAAAAAAAGCAAAAAGTATTATAGTTTTTGTATAAAAGTTATGGTGTATATTTTTCAATTCAACACATTTTGTTGCAAAACAATAAAGGAACCTAAAAAAGAAAAAAATAAAAAAATTAATCCACTTACCTTCTTGATTTTTATTTCCTTTTTGACCACTCTTTTTTCTTTTTCAATTTATTTACAATTACGAGATTTCATTTTCACCTCGAGATTTCTAATTTCACCATAAAGGAATATTAGAAATATTTACAAAAAAAAAAATATTAATAAATTAATTTCAACATTTTTCAACACATTCTCCTTTTTGACTCTGTTTTTCTTTTTTTAATTTCTAAATAAGTAAAAGGCAGGCATGCAGGCGGCAAAAGTACTGAATACCTGGTGACTTAAAACTGTTTTTGGTTTTTTAATTTCAAAATAAGAAAATTTTTTTTTTAAACTGTGGTTGAATTTTTTTGTTTCTTATATTACTTGCCTTCGTTTTCTTTTTGTTATTTTTCAAAAAAAAAACAGAAAATAAAAACAAGAAAAACAAAAGCAAAACAAAAAAAAACTTACCTTTTCAATTTATACGATCACCATTTAGTTGAGATTCAGTCAGGTGCTGAGCACCGTATCGAGCGGTTCATTTTACGCAATTTTCAATAAAAATTTCAAGAGAATTTCAAATTCCTTTTTTTAACTTAATATTTTTTTTTTGTGATTTTTCTTTCTGCTTTTTAATTACTTTGCAATTTACAATGAAATTTTTGAGAGGAAAAAAAGGATAACAAACAATAGGAATTATAAAAAAAAAATGATTTATTTTATGATGTTTTTTAAAGTGTAATTTTTACACACTTTACTAATTGTGTATTTTGTATAAGTGCCTTTTTGACAAAACAATCAAATAACAGGGTGATATTTAGTACAAAAACTAAAAATTTATGATAAACAAAGTTAAAAACTGCAAATTAATGACTAAAAATGAAAGGCCCAAAAAAAGGAGTAGTAAAAAAATAAAAAAATAAAAGAAAATACGCAAAAAGTCGCGCGCGTCCATTAATTAAATGATTTTCTATTCTAAATATCCTTATTCACATCCTTTATTATTAACAAATAAAAGTGTAACAAAAAAATTTAATTCGAGAGAAAACATTTAATAATAAAAAATTAAAATAAAATAAAATAACGAAAAAAACAAAAAAAAACAAAGTGCCTTTTAAATGAAGAACCAGAAAAAAAAAACAAAACAAACAAAACATTGAGTGCCTTAAGAGATTCAAATTCTAAATTACGTCCACAATTACACAAAATAATAATTTTAATAATTAAAATTTATAAAAATAAATTTATAAAAATTGTCATAACTAAAAATTTTTTTTTATTTTTAATTTTTAATATTAAATAATTTTAAATGAAAACTGTAAGGAAATTGAAATTGAGGTTTCATAATTTTTAAAATTAAAATTAAAATAAAATTTTCAATTAAATAAAAATAATTGAAGAGAGAAAGAGAGGTGAGAATTAAATTTTATTTATTTAAAATTTTTAATTAGTAATTAATATTAAATATATAACACTAAATATATTCTATCGGTTCCAAAACACACTGAATTCGAAGAAATTAAATTTTTTATGTTTCTATCAAATGGGATTCTAGGCATTATTTGAATGGTTTATTTTGAAATTGAGCTAAGTCCATTTCAAAACTTTTTTATTTCCAAAGCAATAATAATGCTAATAGTTGGAATTTAGACTTTTATTGTTGGATAAAAATATAAATATATTATAAAACAATGAAACCAGTTGTTTGGTTGTTAATTTAAACCGAATTCGTTTCGGTTTCAGAACCCTAAACCGTTTAAAAAAAATTATAATTTTTACTGATTTAGATATCCTCGATCCTGAATACTATATTTAATATTGAATTTCCGAAAACAATAATTTATTAAAATTTTGCTAGAATATTAATTTGACAAAATATAAAATGTAAATTTTAATGTATAACCCTTACAATTTCTCTATACTAATGGAAGGATAATGAAGCGTTATAACTGTGAAAAATTTTTAATTAAATAATTATTTAGCACATAATTTTTTACAGACAAGTTAAAGAGATTATTGAAAAATTATAGATATCGAAAAATATCGGAATACAAAACATAAAGCATTGTTTTTGTAAAATTTTTGTTAGTTCGGCTAATAATTTTTGTTCGAATTGCTTGAATATTATATAATTGAGTATATTCGGCATTAAATTTAAAATTTGAAATTTGAATCAATGTACACAAGTTTTATACACAACCGTATTCGTATAAGCTTATAATTTTAAATTATTCTAGTATTTGAGTGATTTCGTAAATTAGAAGAACAATTTCCTATCAGACCATAATATATACTTTTAGTCCTTAATTCTTATATGTAAAAAGAGAACTCATGTTCGAATTTGTTTAGTAAATTTATAAATTGTATCCATTTTTCTAATAATAGCAAAAAATACATCAGAATATATTCACAAAATTTAAATTTTCCTATTTAAGAAATGATCTTGATTTGCAGTCGGAATCTATAAAGAAGTTATTATTGCTTAATAAATTTTTCAAATTGCAATTTTTTAACAAATTTTGTTTTATAGAAAAAATACCAAAAAAATCATGGTTTAATACCGATACACAAAATTTAACAATACAATCTTAATTACCTGAAATTTATTATGTTCCAATTAAATTCAAATCAATTTTAAATTTCAAAACGGCAGGTTTTACGGGAAGTACAAAAAAATTTTTTTCTAGATTTATTTCAAAATTAATTATAAAAATGTGAATCATAAAAACTAAATGGTATCAAATCAGAAATCATAAGAGTTTATAAAATCTATTTCGATATTACGATATTATTTTCGATATTGGTTTATAAAATATATTTCGATAAGATGCAGGCCTCTGATTTAACTAGAAATTTTCCACCTGTAATAGAAAAACCATAATTTTTTATTATTGAATTTTATTAACAATTGTGACGTACAACTTTAATATCGTATTTTTGTATGATGAAATTTCTCCGTCCTTTTATTGTTATCCAAAGTATTATAAATTTGTATAGATTCGAATGGCCATGTAAATTTTCATCCTTTAATATTTTTATAAATTTTAAGATTGAATAATGAATTTTTTAAATAATGCTTTATATTCATATACACTTACCGTAGGACATGTGTTCATTAAAATATTCATTTCCCAACCAATAAATGCTTGTGCATTTAAATTTACTCAGAACTATTTTATATTTCCTTAAATACCCTTATATAATATATGTTATTGACTCCTGGTCCCTGATAATTCCGTTTTTTTCCTCTTTTTTTTTATATCTAATACAATTTTATTTGATAGTCAGCATTTTTACGCAGGACGCCAACATTATACAGGATAAAAAAGAAAATAAAATAATTTAAGGAATTATAAGAAGAATAAGAATAGCATTTACATTTAGAAACCATCATAATATATTAAACCAACTAATTAATGCACCTAATGCAGGTGTTACAAGTACTCCACGAAAAAAATTATAAAAGTTACAGAATTTTTTTCCACCTTTTTCTATTTTATTAAAAAAGGAATACATTAAAGGAGATTTTTATTAAATTTTATTCTATTTTTTAGTTCCTTTAAAAAAGGAATTTTATAATTGAGGCTCCCACAGTAGGATTTTATAAAATTTCTTGAATTACTTATTTAGAATAATCCACAATTCAATTTATTAACAATTATTATTATTTTAATTATTAAAGCAAACAAACAGAGAAAATTTTAAGTGGTTTACATTGAATGATATTCAATTCATTTTTTATATTAATTCAACAATATTACAATATATAATCCTCATTTTATATAATCTCGGTAATTAATGGATAAAAAATTTGAAAAAATTAATGAAAAATTATAAAAATTCACTATGAATAATAGAAGGTAACACATCTAATTGATGCGGGTTCTATTCTGTTTATACTAATAACATTCAATCAAATTTTTAAAACAATAACTCCAAATATATGAAGAAAGGTGTACCAAAATTTTTCAAACTCGAAACCGGAAAAATTAGATTTGATTCGAACGAAAAGGCGTTTCGAATGGCTGCCATACAAGTTTAGAAGCAATATGCCATTTTTTCAGGCGCTTATACCTCAGATTTAGTATTTGAACAATAGTGTAGTGATAATAGTCCTGATCCTTTAACCGATGGGTTTCGGACCTCGGATAACCGTGACCAGGTCATTATAGAAGTAATTATCTATAATATCTATAATATCTATAATATTCGATATTATTAATGCCAATAGAATTAAACAATAAATATTAATGGTCTTAAATATTTCATATTAAGAAAAACTATGGTATAGGCTAGTCACTATAGCTATTCCAATATTTTTATGGAACTGAAGCATGATTCTTTTATATTTCATACAACAATCCCATATCTCTAATTCTGACACAAGAATACCGAATTTGTGTAAGCCGTTGTTCTTATACTTGTGTTAAAAAGTATTTACTCTTATTTCAAATACAAACAAACAAATTTAGTAATAGGAACAGTATGTTTTTGTCATCTGTGAGCATCACAATCGAGAGAATGACACAATCAGAGTTGACACAATCTTTTCTCCATTTGTTTTAATTTTAAAGTAATTGAATACTCCCCTTAAATTTTTTGTCATAAAATTTGTACCACTACAAGGACAATAACAATACAATTAAATTTTATTTAATGTCTTATCGAGATTGTCAATTCTAGTAAACGAATTATTCATTACTTAGTATAGTGCTTGCGATCCAGATATGGAAACACTAATATTTATTTAATAAAATTAAATAACGAACTGTATTTCCTAAACCTATAAGAACCTTAAATGTTTTAATTTTTTTTTTAATTTTGACGAAATCCTCAGATCAATTGAATGATATTAATGGCAATTTTAATGATAGTCATTGCCTAATAACAAGTTTTTATAAACTGACCTAGTCAATTAATGCGCTTAAACTAAAATTAATGAAATTACACTATGTTCAGCTTTGACACAGCTTTACAGAAACAATAACAGATCTGCAATTAAAATAACATTAATAAGCTGCAAAATTATTTTAAAACTTCATTAACTATTCCTCTTAATTAAAGAAAAATCTTAAATTTAATCAATTCACTTTAATTAAATCTGCTGAAATCAATCATAATTTTACAAAAATCCAAATCATAATTAAATTGTCAATGTAGACATGTGTGTTTTGTAATAGTTTGCTTGAAACCTACAATACAAAACTGCAATAATCAATTTATTAGCATAATAACTGTTTAATAAGTGCCTATATTATAGTAAGAAAAAAATTTTTTTTTTGATAATATTAAATATTTAAAATTTAATTTAGTTAAAAAAAAAGAACAGCAAAAAAAACTTACGGCCACATGCCATTTATTTTTTGTTTCATTCATTTTTTTATTTTTTTTTCTTCCTTACAGACGGACGACACGTTATAATTTTCAACTTGTTTTTTCTACATAATTTTATTATTTTTGTTTTCTTACTCAATATTCGTCATTAACAATAACAACAATTTAAAAAAACAAACACAAATACCATAAAAAACAAGAGAAATACTATGGAACATTTATCACCACCACCATCACCTCAATCTGCAACATCATCATCTCAACTTCCAGGACAATTTGTAACAACAACAAATTCAACAGCGGCATCAGTCGCAGCACTTGATATGACTTTATCATCACAAAAAAACTGGATTCAAAGAGCATCTGCATTTAATACTGTTTTAGCAGCATCAGCTGGACAAAAATTTAACGGAAGAGGTAAATGCATATATATATACATTTGTATCACATATATATACATATATATACATATATGTAAGAACGGAAAAAAATACATGTCCATGCAAGTATGTATGCGAATATTTTTTCTGTTTTAAAAATTAAATGCATGTCACGATCCAAATTCTCCAAAAGGGAGAGAAAACAAAAAAACTCAAACGTAAAATGTACTCAGAGTTGCAAAAACAAATTTTGTTTTTTGTTTTCATTTTTATATGTGTAAATATACGTTTATGTATACGTTTACAGTTTAAGTATGCGGCAAAGTAGAATACCACACGAAACATGACAGTAAAAAACACGGACCAAAAAAAAAAAACTCAGTGGCTCATTTAAAAATTATCTGACCAGTAGTTCAATTTATGATAACAAAAAAAAAGTGAATCTTATGTGAGTTTTTTTTCTCTCTCTTTTCATCACGTCCTCATTGTGAATCCTTTCTTATGTTAATTAATAAGTTTTCTTCATTGCACGGGAAAAAAAATTATGAACAGTTTTTTGTCTTCCTGTATTGTTTTTTATTTTTTTTTTTTTTGGAAATTCAAAGCACGCCCGAGTATATCACAACCATCAAAATTCATAATTCTCATATGCTTTCATAATATTTAGCAGGTCTCTTAATAGCATTTTTTGTTTTTCCTTCGATGTAAGTTGACAGATGGTTTTATGAAGACCATCTTCTCATTTTTTTTCCAAATTTATTTTTTTTTTGCTTTTTCAATATTATTTTATACAAATTCCACAAATTGATAAAAAATTGCAATAAAAACACAGTAAATGAATAAAGTAAACAAAATCATCTGAAAGTGGAAGTCGGTTTTCAAATTAATTGCCTGCTACTATGTATGGGCAATTACCATTGGCAGTGACCTAATCAGTCAAAAATTCTCATCATATAAAATGTATACAGTTCTTGCCTGAAGGGATAGAAGGCTGTAGACGGCCGTGCCGGGAGGTTCTGATTTGATATTATTGGCAGGTGTACTTGCCATGTATTTAAAAACTCACAAAACACTTTACATACTGTCCACAAATATTCAATAGTATTTAATATTAAAAATTTATTTTTTTTTATTTATTCAATTAAAAATATATAGATCTTCCACCACTGCTTTATAATCCGTTATTATATTCGAGTGCTTTGCTATGGCCACAATTTTTTTTTCAATCAACATCTGGTATTACAACACCATCAACTCCAGCAACACCACATTCACCTGTCTATACTAGCAATAATCAAAATAGAGAATATACTTTGACACCAGAAAGAGATGAAATGATGACAAATGATGATGAAAATATGATGCCATTAAATTTATCAACAAAACAAAATCTAACAAATTATTTAAGAGATGAACAAAATTCAATAAATGGTCGTCAAAGTTCTATAACAATTATTGATGAAAATGATGATGATTATGATCAATTACAACATCAACATCATTTAAATAAACGTGATCATAAAGATTTATATCATAACCAAAATCAAAATAATCTTCATAATAATCATGGTTCACCAACACCACCACCATCAGCAAAATTAATTATGGATTCAATACATCCTGATAACGATAACAATTCAAGTGATGATGATGAAAATATAAATAATAATCATAATAATTTTGATCATAAAAATGATGAAAATGATAATGATTTAATTACATCTGGTGGTACATTAAATTTATCAAATCGTTCTCAATCAGCTGTAATATGGTCACCAGCTAGTATGTGTGAAAAAGAATCGTCAATTTTATCACCAACAATAGATCCAATTGTTAGAAAATTTAAATATGAACGTCGAAAATCAAGTTATCATAATCGTAACTCATTTGATAATAATCGACGTGAATCATCAACAACACCAACATCAATTTATTCATCACCAACATTATCTTTAGAACAACAACAACAACAACATCAACAATCATTTTTACATTCAATTAATAAAAATAAAATTATTTCATCTGATAATGAAATTCTTAAAAATAATACAATAAAACATCATCAACATGTTGCTGCATTAGCATTATATGCTTCTCAACAACAGCAACAACAGCAACAACAACATCATCATTTAAAACAACAACAACAAAATATTGAATTAGATATTTTTGCAAAATTAACTCAAAGTCAAAGAGAATTAGAAATTTTAAGACAAAATAGGACTGATATATTTGTATTCAATAATAATAATAATAACAGTAATAATAAAGATAATTTTAATAAATTAAATAAGATTAATAATAATTTTAACAGTGATAATAATAATGAAAATAATAATAATAATGGTAATAATAATAATAACAATAGCAATGTATGCCGTGAATCTAATTCAAATAGTTTAAATTTAAATATTAAAAGAGAAATTCATAAAGAAATTATTCAAAGACCAGATTCAACAGCAAATTTTGGTAATAATGGTGAAATACATCATCATAATCAACATTCACCATATCGTGATGAAGAGAAACGTAGAGAGAGAAGTTTTCAGGTGAGTTTTTTATTTTAATATCTTCATATTTCATAAATTATATAGTAACTTTATATTAAACCGTTTATATACATTAAAAATTATCAGGGTCGAATGTTATTAAATCTTAATAATTTCTTCTTAAAATTTACATACCCTTCAAATACCCTTGAACTTGTTTCTGTTATTTTTTCTGTCAAATCGACGTTCATATTTTTTTTGTTTCGATAAATTTTATTTAATATTCTAAATTTAGACTTCTTACTTTGTACATTCATCTTGTTTTTTTTTTCTTTTCTTCACATATTTACACTGGACATGACAGACATAAGATCTTTATGGTATTCAAACATTACCGTTCACAGTAATCATTTCGTTTGTACAATTTTTCAGAATTCGTTGATCAACAGAATATTTTAACAGAAAAAAAACCCCTTTTTAACCTTGAAAATTATTAAAACCATTTAATAAAAATTAATCACCTCAAAATTTTGTACATTGTATACATAAATACGAATATGCACATAATTTATTTAAATAAAATATTAAAATATTATATTTAACCAATAAAAATATTTAATAAACATTTATAATATATTTAAATAATAAAAAAAGAAAAAAAATTAAAAAAAAAATGCAAAATTCTTCAGTTGGTTCCAGAAAAAAAAAAATCAACAACTAAAAAATAAAACACAGTCTTAAATAAATTGAACAGAGTTCATTTGCTCTAAAAATCCAATTGCTCAAATTTAATTGCAATTCCCCTAAAAGTAAAAAAATAAACAATAAAATATTAAACAAATTCAATTAAATAAAATTTTTTAATAAAAAATTAAAATTTTTAAGATTGGGCCAACTACTAATCCACTAAAAAGTTTATTAATTTTTAAAAACTTCATAGTTTTGAACCAAATTCAAAATATTTGTAATTGTCATTTTTGTCAAAAATTACACTTTTGCACTCTGAAACTCTTTTTGAAATTTAATTTTAAGCCTATAATACGATTTTCTTAACAACATAGCAACGTCTCTGAGCAAAATCCTTGGTTGTTTAACCCCTACCGTTACAATGAATCATGATGTCAAAATTTAACTAAATGTCGAAATCCTTTACATTCTAAATCATAAATAATTCTTATGCTTTAACAATTTTGTCCTTTTGAGATCATTTGTAAATTATCTAAATAGTTTACTTTCAACTCTCAAGAGCGAATGCAAAAAATTTGAGAATATAAGAAACTGTAAGTGTTCTTATTACACATAGATATTAAAAAATAAAAAATTTAAGCTCTTTCCCTGCAAATTTAAGGACAAGAAACAAATGTGGTACATGTTTTCATTCAACTTCCCTAAAAAATAAGTGTGCAATCAAATGGTTAATAAAAATGAAACGAAGAAAAAGCTATTCTCAAAATCTTCGTATTGATTGCGTTCCCTTGAAACTTAAATGAAACTTTTTTTTCCAACCTATAAAAAAAATATTTATTTCAAAAATATTATTATTATTTAATTAACCACATTTAATAGCAATTTATTAATGAAATTGGAAAAGGTGAACCGAAATTAAAATCAAAATTAACCCCTTTGAAAATTAGTTAAAAAAAAACGAAAAAAAAACAGTTATTTTCCAATATAATTGTTCCCCCTTATTTTTATTCAAATGCCAATACCGACGTCAATATCCCATTTCAAGTGCGTTTACTTATCTCTAGCCATTCTTGTTATTCAGTGTCCAGATAAATATTGTCAAAGCAGTGAAAACATGCGCGGAACAATAAGCAAATAAAAACCAAAAACCAAAAAAAAAAGGAATAATATGAAAAACCTTTTGTTATTTTAAGTGTTTTTTTTTTCTCTTTTTTTTTTAATACGTGCATTTTATATACATATTTGTACATATATCTTACGTACATATATACATTTTATTATTTCAATTTTAATATTATAACCAAAGTTTGAAACATTAAAAAAAAATATTAAGTTAATTTTTTTGGATACACTCATATACAAACACACGCACACATTATTATGGTATATTTAATCAATGATCAAAAAATAAACGGTAAATAAAATATTAGTCACTCTGAATATAATCGCTTATCTACACACAAAAAAGAAAATATAATATATAATAAAAGGTTTTTCTTTTGCACCTACAAACATACATACAAATATATTTAAACATTTTACAACTCTTTTGTCTCAAATACAACACCAGTTCATTGTTTGAAAAAAAATTTTTTTTTTTTTTGGTTGAAATGCGAATGGCCTAAATTTTCTATATATATTTTATACAAACGTATATAAACGGTTTCTGTATACTTTAAACAAAACATTTTTAATTGGTAACTTTCTTTAATCTTGTTATTTTATTACAATAATAAATATATATGCGATTATTGAAAATTAGTCATTAAATTATTATAGCGCAAAAAAAAAAAAAGTGGGTTACGTCCCTGATATTAAAATTTAGAAATTTTATATTGATAAGACAAAGTAATGTTTTGTGCGCGGCAATTTTTAATGAATGAACATTTTGTTTTCTAAAAATTAATGAAGAATTAAGACTAAAATATTAGAATTAGTTTTTCAAATTTATTCTATTCATTTACTTAGATTTGTTTACAAAATTTAACTATGTATATTATAATTTTCGATAGTTCAGAGATCCGAAAATGTATAAGGGACAATAAGGAAAAAAACTCCCATTCGTCTATATAAAAAAACTTTACACTCTTTAAAGCTAGAATTTTGAATTTTATACTGAATTAAAAGTTTGTAAGAAGCTTGTTTATCCAAAAAAAAAACAAATAATTTTTAGAATTTCAAAAATTTTTTGACAAAAGACAAAACTGTTTCAATATTCGGCAAATTGCGGTAATTTTTGATAATCTAGCTCTGAGTTAACGGTGTTTTTTAAAAGCATAGCCCCATGTTAGCAGTTTTTAAAAAAATAAACAAGCTGCCGGGTGTCCTTACTGCCAGGTTTTTTGACAGACAAAAACATTGTGCCACTTGCCGACTTTTTTTTTTAATATATTGCAGATTTCTTAGTTCGAACTTAATACTGCCAATACGGTTCTGAATCTAGAAGAGCCCTTTTTCTTTCTGATTCCTAGCGGTTTTATATTCTCTAATGGAAACGAAATTCTGAAGTTCTTTTTTTAAATATCTTTTTCTAATTGATTTTATAATTTTGTATCATAAATTAACATCATCTCATTCAATTAATATTTGATTGAAAATTGAATGAATCACAAAAAAATTCATTATAATAATTGTAGTTTTTTTTTCCTTTGATATTATTATTTAAAAATTGATTTGTCAAATATTAGTAATTAAATTGAAAATATTAAAAATAATTGCTAAATAAATAAATTCTATTTTACATTAACACGAATCTTCACTTTTCAATACAGGAGGTTCAATTAAAAAAATTAAGGTATAATATTGCTAAATGACTAAAATCGTCAATAAAATTAATTATGGACAGGATAAAAATAATGTGATAGGTTAAAGTTAGGTTTTGATGGCTTTCTTCCGTACAAACCTCAACATTTCCAATGACAAAATCCCCCTTTTAAAATAAGGGATGGTTTTAGCTTGTAAAGTTCAAAAATTTACGTTTCCTCACTATGAAAAAAAGTAATTTACCCAGACATAATTACAATTTCATCACTAGGCAAACTTAAAACCCAAAATAACGGCGTAAGTTTTAATCTTGTACTATTACCGTGTTTTTCCTCTTTATACCAAAATTCCGGACAGAATTACTCTTTCATCTGACTCACTGCCCTTCTGACAAGAATCTTTATCTGCAGGTTTACGTATGTACCACATTGTGGTCATGAAAGAAATAGTAGAGTGCATTAATTTCTCAATAGAACAATATTTACTGAAATTGGCGAAACCTTATGAACCTTGTCAACTTGATCATTTTCAATAATTTTATTGGTAACCCTGTTCCTAATTTTTTCTAATATTTACGCAACTAAAATAAAAAAATTTCAATTAACAAAAAAAGACAAAAACAGGACAATGTATACCGTGCAGGAAAAGGATATTATCGGACGTTAGAATAATAAAAACAGATTATTTTGTCAATGTTTAATAAACCTTGCTTTTTCTTCTAGTAGGTATAAATTTTCAAAAAGGAAAACAATTGAAATAAAATTTCTATAATTTTCTCATACCAAATAACTCAAAAAATTATTTATTTACAAAAGGGGTAAAAAATTATAGTAACAAAAAAAAAGAAGTAAGAAAATTCAAATAACAAATTTTATTACTTAAATTGTAGCATGTTTTCTTTGCCCGAAATATAAAGAAGAGTTAATAATCTAGAAATCTTCCTTCACAATCTAGAATTATTTGAGTTATTAATTTTTTTGAATTTATTAGGTATTCTTTAAATGCTATTAAATTTAATAAATGTCACCTTTATCAAAAATATTCTAGGTTATCTACTAATTTTTTTTTATATAAATCAGAAAATTATCAATTAATAAGTGAAAAAATTTTAAGGTTAAATAATTTTACCCAAATTATTTGGCAGAAATAAATAATATATTAGATATAGTCCAGGTACTTTTGAATTTGTAACGCACCTACATTTGAACTGTTTATTGCCCCCGAAATACCTAGATTATGGCATTTTTAATTACAAACTATTTTTGTAAAAATTTTGAATTTTTGGTTCAATCACTTTTTTAGTTTTCGCAATCAGCCTAGAATTCATCGCCGACCAAAAATATTTTAGCATGTCTACATTGCTCCAATAATAAAATTGTAAAATTCACAAATTTACAATAATTATATTGAAACATCTTGTACTTATGCTTTCCAAAGTAATATTTTGACAGTGTGTATTTGATTATACCTTCTTTACCTCTAGACTCACAGTAACCTAAAAGAAAACCAAATAAAATATTTAAATTATGATGGGCAAGTATTTTTAAATATAAAAAAAGCGATAATTATTACTTTTAACACGAACTATACTTACTCGATTTCTATTCAAA